TGTTTCTTTGTATGTATGCATTTTATGCATTTTGCAGCAGTTCATTTCTAGACTTGGACTTGAAAAAAGAAAACATTTTCATTGTTCGTTTAATTCACATTTCTGGCTTTGTCCTGGTATATTTTACTTATTTGCAGAAAGTTTACGTAAGTCAAGCTCGTTAAATTAAAATAGAAAATCTATTTGTGCAATCGAAATACTTATAAGGTATTGTAGTTTCGCGTTTAGTCTAGTTTGTCCTAATTGAGAGCCTATAGGAAACTCAGGAAATGAGTGGCCAACGATGATTGGTCAGCCTAACAGAACTGCGCTGTGATTGGTTAGAATCCTAGGACCATCGGGGCGCGTTGCTTGACCCTCTTTTTTTCCCCCTGGCTTTAGCTTCGTGTTTCTTGCTGTTCAACGCTATCATCCGTTATATTTATTCCCCAGCGCTGACTTAAATGTTGTTGTCATAAACTGAACAACGCCGTTTTGTGTTACATTCTGCTGTGGCCGAATGAGATGTGTTAGCTTAGCAGACCAACTTCAGGAATCGTGCCAGCTAGCGAGTAACCAACAAGAGCAGCAACATCAAGGTAACTGCTGGGAAACTGAGTGCCCATCTGTTATCGAGAGTTCGGTTCTTGCTTTCTTACGCTAACCCAGGATCTGACATACCTGTAAATAACTGGTTCATGTAGCTGGTTGCGTTAGTTTTAGCTAAATAAACCGTTAACTGCGTTTCCTGTAGCTGAATCAAGTGAATCTAGCTCAATTTGTGTAAAACTAGAATAGAAGTTTTATGGAGTTTTGTTTTTGTGCTAATATTTGACCTACAACGAGGTCTATTCCGGCACGCTTTGGTTCAGTGTTGACATCCTGAAAGCTGTTTTGGTTTAGCATTATTGCCTGAAATCATTTTAATAAGTGAGTTATTAATCTGAGGATGAATTTAATGCCAAGCATTCATTTTCCAACTGTTGGGAAGAGAAAACATTTAGTTTAAAATAAAATTTAAGTCACCACTTTTTGATTATGTATTTAAGGTAGTTCCAGCAGAAAAGTCTAGCTGTAACCCACTGGTAACTTCAATAATTAACATAGATTTTCATATATGAGTAAAACAATCCTGTAGTAATATTTTAAACCATCATATGATAAGGCTTTGTTGAGTTGCTTAACTCATTTTCTCCCTTGCTTCCTGGTTCTCTCAGGATGGACTTCCCTCCAGCTAAACGGCTCCGAGGCCTGAACCAGAATGTTGTGACAGCGGTTCCCAACGATGACACTTTTGGAGATGATGATGAGTTCACCCAGGAGGACTTGGATGAAATCGACATCATTGCCTCACAGGCCACCTCCTCAGCAGGGCTTGCATCTAAATCAGTAACCAACGGGAGCAACTCGTTCCATGGGTCCACCTGTCCAACATCCATGATACAGAGCAGAACCACAACCAATCAGAGCAACGCATTTGTGTTTAACAGAGTTGATGGAACACTTAAAAAGGAGCCTCTTAGTGAGTTCAGAGATAATGTTATCACTTACGTCATCATAGGTTGGCTGGTGGTGGTTAAACATTTATTTTGGCCTGTTAATGTAAATTTAGCTGCAATAATTTTGTTCCTATTTTTATATATTCAGGTATTTTAATATATTCAGGTATTTTAAAAGTGCACACAAATGTGATTTAGTCATTAGTAGTTTTTGTGTTGCAAAGGGGAGCAAATAATTTTCTTGTGGGTTCAGATAACAAGCTTCGTCCGCTTGGGTCAGACAGAGAGGACTCCTACCGACTCCTGGAGACCCAGCATGCAGAGCTGAAGAAGAAGGTGAGACTCGTTGTTTGATCAACATCAGCTTCTCAGGTTTGAATATAGTGCCAGCTGTAATCACAAATATCTTTTTACAGTGTAGTGATTAAAGTTTATCTGTTGCAATAATGTGGACTGTCCCACATTCAGATTTCTTAGGTTTCGAATTAAAACTGTTTTTTGCCATTTTTTAATATTATAGATAAAAGTGTGTTTGTTTGTTTGTTTGTTTAGCTGAAGGAAGTAGAAGAAGAGATTCTGTTGAAGAGTGGAGAGATCCGAGTCCTGAGGGACTCTCTGAAAGCAGCTCAGCAGGAGAAGGAGACTCAGAGACAGAACCAGGTCCTGCTGGAGGCTCAGAGGCAGAAGGAGCAGAATGAAAAGGAGAAGGAGCTGAACAGAAAGGTATGGGTGGAGAGAACACACACACACACACCTGACAATCCTTTACACTGACTGTTTTCTGCTTATAGGTTCAGTCTCTGCAGTCTGAGCTGCAGTTTAAAGAAGCAGAAATCAGTGACATGAAGACTAAACTTCTCTGTTCAGAAAATAACAAAATTCCCTCGCCGATGGCTAGAAACAGGTATTCCCACTTTTCTTAAACAGCATGATCGTGAAATGTGTTTTGTAGCTTAGGCCTGGTTCACATGGTAAGATAATTGTGCCAATTTTTTGCCTGATCTCCCCTACCGACAATCCTAAGGACCTCCTTATGACCATAATGGCTCTAAAAATAATTTCATCAGATATTTCTGACATGTGTGGTGTGTTAAAAGCACTTTGTGCTGCTCGGGAGGACTCTGGAACCACTTCAATCATAAATCGGGTGACATGTTGGATTGCCCTTATTTCGAAGAAAAAAAGCAGGCTGTTGAATGTTACAAGTAGCCAATCAGAAAGTGAGGGGAAGGAAGTGCGCTCTCTTCTTCCGGCTCTTGGAGAGTACAGACGCTTCTTTTCCCCTCTCCCTGACTATCCTCATATTAAACCCTCTTGATGTATTACTGTAGCGCGACTTGTGTTGCGAATGACCACAGTCATCCAATTCCTGCCATGTGTCTATGTATGTATGTCTGATCATGTCTGATGATCCTAGCAAACTAGTAAATCCTGATAAGATGAGTCAAGCAGCTACAGGTTGTATTGATTTGAGAAAAAGTCAGAATTTTGTTTTTAATGTCATTTTTATTAGCCTGGCCTGCCGGACTATTCCTCTGTTTAATTTTACACAGAGATCTACTCTGGTTCCTCACAGGCAGAGCAGCACGTGAGGGGCGGGACTAGCCAGCTCAAAAATAACCAATCAGAATAAGGGAGGGAATGACAACTGTACCACGTGACGCTGTAGTTTAGTTAGCTGTAGTCAAAAATGGCGTCTGGCGACGGCGCAGACATCTTTCTTTAGGAGAAATGCTTTTAGCGCTTCTACTTGTTGTTTTAAAGACGAGTCCAAGTCATTTAGTGAACTCTGCTTCAGACAGCGTCTACATTTTTGACGAAAAACTGAGAGTTGTGGTAGAGGTCGTGTGTTGGTCCAGCCTGTGCAGCACTTAGGGCCGCTCCCATGCTGCATTTTAAATGAGCTATGAATAAAGTATGGTATGGTGGTGTGTGACGTACGCTGCTCAGCGCTGATTGGCTCAGTTGGAATTCTCAGGGGGTGGGGTTATTTGAATAGAAGAGTTCCCAGCCAGCCCCGTGGCTGGCCAGGCTGCATTTTTAATGTAATAACTTCAGTTCTTTATGTTTTTATGGAAATGAGCTGAAAAGTAAAATAAGATAAAACTGCTCTTAAAGTACTTGTCTAGTTTTTTAGCCCAATTCCAAAATCAACTAGTGGACTTGACCCTTTTCTCTCCTTTTAGTCCTAAAGTGCTCAGCACTTCTGCCCAAATGCATCATGGGAGCAGCAGCTCCTCCTCCTCTCCAATAGGAAGTGGTTTCATCACCAAGGAGGCATTTGGGATGAAAATCCCCTCCAGAACTACACCGTTGAAAGCTTGTATGAAAACACATGCAGCTGGTGGTGAGTAACCGGATGGACGTGAAGCGCATGAACATAAAACCAGTCTTGCTGCTGAAACGGGTCTAAACTCTGCATGTGTGTTTGTTGTAGCAGAAAGAAGGGTGTCTAGCAGCAGATGTGATGATGGAAATGAAGTGTCTCAACCGGATCCTTTCCTGTCTGCGAAACCTGCGTGCTTTCAGCATGAAGGTCAGTCACCCAGCACAGCTGGCTGGATGGGCTCCTGACTGTTTTCTGTTATGGTTCTCAGTGAAAACACAGCTGCATGTGCGTGAAGTTACCTTTAAACCTGCAATGGCAAATCTGGGATAAAAGTTAGATTAAAAGGTAAAATTGAACAATGTTCTAACAGTATACAGGGTTCGTACGATCATAAAAACCTGGAAAAGTTATGGAAATTGAAAATGCAATTTCTAGGTCCTTGAAAAGTTCAGGAAAAATAATATCCTCTGTAAAGTTTTGGAAAAGTCATTGAAATATTGTTTGGATAATATTTTGGATGTGTAAAATATTAATATACAATAGCATGCTATGATTAAAATGTACATTGCTACAGAGGTGCAACATGATGCTCTCGCTGCTACTGTCCGACTCCGTGTGCACCGCCACGTTCCATTTCTGTTTACTGAATGCGTGCACCCCCATTGGGCCAAAACGATCACGTGTGAGCCGCGTTACCAATGTATCCTTACTCTCAAAACAAACTAGTCCCAAATTAAAACATTGATCGTAATAAAACGGCTTTACCAAAAGGAGGAGAAGTTTGCTTATGAAAAACATATGAATGTACTTTTGCATTAGTGTGCACAGAATTGCAATTCTAAACTTTCGGCTTCTGCACACCCAGCTTTTTCATCTGGTTTTCAATGAAACCAATATGAATTATTTGTACTGTAGCCACACAAAAAATAAAATCACTTCTTAGTTGATTTATTTTACCTCCAGGTGGGGTCTTGCTGGGGTTGTTGCTGCAGCCATCACTGTCACCCTGCAATCTCAGCCTTTCTCATCTACTTTCTATGAGTCTGACTGATTACAGGTAAACACCACTCACTGTCACAGTGGGCACACACACACACACACACACACACACACACACACACACACACACACACACACACACACACACACACACACACTGACACTACCCATTATCACACAAAATTCTCAGAAACAAAAAGGAAATGCTATTTATTGTGTGTAAGTTCATATTATATATGTTTAACAAAAGGAATTTCATTATTGGAGTAATCAGGACTTTTCATGACTCGTGTGAACAAGCTGGAAAAACTGACATGTTGCTTTGCATCCAGGCAGCTTTCCACTGACCCCCAGCTCCACTTTAATCCACCCGATCAAGCCGATCCTGTGGCAGCCCCCAGAGAAGACCTGAATCTGGTCCAGAGCCTGGCTGCAACTGGTCTCAACATGCTGAGTCAGAGCCAAACAGCAAGTGCTGCCAGCTGCAGAAACAACGGGTAGGTGGACTGACTCTGGACTTTTCAGCTGCTTTGCTCCAGAACCACAAGCAAGGCCGCACCTCTGGCCCACTGGGCCCTCGTGTGGTCAATTTGTGTAACAACAGTGCTCAGTGTTTACTGAATCACCCCAGTAATATAGACTAAGTACAGGAGCAGCTGTTTGTTTTTAAACTGTTTTAAACATTGAGCTGATGATTCCACAGAATTTCCATCTCCATCAGCAGTTTTTAGGACACAAGTCATTAAAGCCTTTGGTGTTATGCACTGGTCACTGTTGGGGGTTCTAAAAATAGACCTAAAGTGCTGATGTTAAAATAACTCTGAATAAAGCAGAATAAAATTAAAGTTTTTTATGTGCAGGTTTTGTTCTGGAGCTGTTCTCCTCCTCCCTCTGTTGGACCTCCACCTGACTCGGCTCTGTTCTACCCTGGACTCGCTCCGATCCTCCTCCCCTGGCAGCAGTAGGACAGACTCTGGAGCTAACATCACACTCCCAGTTAGACAAACAATTTCTTCTTGTCCCGGACTGGGGAGACTGGAGGAGGCTGGTTTCTCAGGTTTCAGTGTGGAGGACACTGGTTTAACTTCACTGAGAGTCCTTTATGTCCTTCTGGCCCACAGCGACGAGGTGATTCTGCAGCACTAACAGTAATGGTTATGATTGTTCCATTCATATGTTGGTTTAAATTTAAAGTGAATTCATCTGAAGACCTTCTGTGTTGTTCGACCTGCTTCTCAGGTGGTGAAGGCGGTGTTGTTAACGAATCAGACGACAGAAAAGGTGCACACATTCACCTATTTTGTGATTTGCCATGAAGCCACATAATTTATACAGATTTTATTTAAATGTGTTAAAACACTGAAAGCTCTTTTTGTTCTGCTGCAGGGCACCCATCCTGCTGCACACAAGGGTTTCTGCTCCCAGAATGCTTTGCTGCAGTCACTGCTGCGTTTGTGTGACACGCAGCTCTGTGGGGGCAACTCGCGGACAGAAGAGCTCGCCCTTAATGCGCTGAAGACACTTTGTGTCCTCATAAGACAAACTCCTTCCACACATTCAGACAGGTACACACTCACCCACTGACCCACAGTAGAGAGGCTAAACTTTAAAGAGTAAGTTCACTGAGAAACCTTTTTTAGTATTATTATTATTGAAAAACGATTGGTCACTCTGAGTTAACATGCAGGCTAATTAATCTTTTACATTAGCCATCGATAGAAAATGGACAAGAAAACACTCGGATTAGAAAAGGCAGTCAGATCTACGTTACGTTGAAAATGAACATTCATTGACTCACAACGGGGAAGGCGGTTGTTGGTTTGGCGTCTAGGAGAGAGCAGAGCACGCCTCGGCTAGTAGAAGCTAACCGTTCGCATTAGCAAGTGCTTCAGGCTTGTGCTATCTGTGGAGATAAAGTATCAACATGGCAAATCAGTCAGCAATAGTCATGTTTCCATTAGCCAATCAGAGGCGAGATGCCTGAATATCAGGAAATAAGACTCCAAATCCTGCTGCCTATAGCTCAACTCTGCTCCGACTCACTTCTGGTTGCTGAAACAGGAACGCCAGAGCTTTTCCTACACAGAGTGACTCACAAGGTATTCATTTATACTAGAGACTAGGGATGTCCCGATGCAACTTCTTCTCTTCCGATACAATACCGATATTGCAGCCTTCAGCATTGACCGATACCGATATCAATCCGATACGATATCAGCACAAATCATACACTTACCTGTTTCATAGTGTGGAACGTATGAAAGGCTTGATCAAGTGATATTACTCAATCGGATAACAAGAGCCAATAACAGTAAGTATGAAAAAAAATACCTTTTTTAAACACATTTTTGGAAAAATATGAACCATAACAGACTGTTTATGTTGGTGATTTTTTATGCCATCCGATATAATGTGATGCAGTGTTTCTGGGCCGATATCGAATTACCTCAGATACCCATATCAGAACGGGACATCCCTACTAGTGACCTATGCTGATGTACGGAAAGGACAAGTGAAGTTTTGTTAAAAGCTTTTGTTGACATTTGTGGAACCACTTCTACTTCCTCGTTTTTGTCTCTTGTTCACGTTTTAGGTTGCAGTGTGTGTTGCAGGTTGTGTGCACATGTTTGTCAGCAGACAGCAGCGTGCGGGTCGTTTCAGAGTGTGTGTCTGTTCTCACGGCCATGTCGGACCACCAGAACCTTGTCGAGCAGCTTTGTTCTCAACACAGTGAGATTTCAGCCTCGTCACAGAGCAGTAACTGAACATCTGTCTCTCTTCTCCTAACTACTGATTTATTGACTGTGCTTCCATTTTTCCCAGATTCGTGTGTTTTCTTAAAATTATTCCAGTTTATTAGAACCCGACTAGACTACCAAGCTACACACATGGGCTTGGTTTGGCTGGACCTGCAGGTAAGGCCTGTGGTGATGAGAAACCAGTATTCATTTATTAAGGCAATGATCACATTTAATAAACTAATTGATCTCATTTATAAATGAGCCTTGCAGGTGATGTTGATATTTTCACACCACAGGTGGTTCGTTTGTTAGGCAGACTGAGTCAGAGGGCAGACCGCTGGTTGAACGTGGAGAACACCTGTCCGTGTTCTACTGAGGTGCGTCTAGTTCTCCTGGTCCTCATGTCTAATAAAACCTGAACCGTCACGTTGCATAAATGGTTCTGTTTCTCTCACAGCTGGTTCAGACAGTTGTCATCCTTTTCCATCATCAGTGGTTGCATCTTCATGGTTCAACAACAGGTTCAGCGGGTAGATTTCCACTCGCCTTGACTTCATTCCAGCTGAACTGATGTTTGACTCTAAGGTCTATTTCTTGCCACTTATGTTGTTTCTTCAGGTGTCTCCCTGCAGCGGTGTTCCTCCTCCAGCTCCCCCTGGTGGCACAGTCCAGCAGCAGCTCTTCTCAGGGAGTGTCTGCTGCTGCTGCACTGGCTGCTGCAGCATCACGCCAGCTTCTCTGACAGCTGCAGGCCTCTGCTGCACATGTATGACCAGATGATCCCGGCTGTGCGAGAAACCCTGAGGAAGATCCCCGATCTGAGTGAGAGCGAAGGTACCAAGGCACAAAACGACTCCAATCCCAGATCTTTTAAGACAAATGTGTCTGGAGATTTTTGGAATAAAAGCATTAATATAAATGAGCTTTTTTTTATGTGCAAGTATAAATAATAAACTAAGTGCTGGTTTGTTTGTCTGCATGAGCATTAGAAAAGTACATGTCAGTAGTTTAAATCCTCAAAATTGATTTTTTTCTTGACTGTTTCTGTTTCTTCTCGACAATTCTTGGACGATCAGAGCTGGCCTTGGAGGAGATCTGCCGCTCTGAGGGAGACGACACCGATGACATGGACATCGACGCCAGCTCATAAATGGCCGCTGCTACGGAGTCTCTACAGAGACTCCTGAGAGGACACGAGGGATGGTTTACGAGATGGGGACAGAACATGGACTGGTTCTGTAACGTGTCTGAAGTGGATTTTGGGAAATGAACAGTCAGAGGTGAAGTCAGACCGGCGTGAAGGAAAAATGAATCATTCTGCCTTTTGACTCAACAGTAAAACCTGAAAGTGAGAAACCTGAAACTTGTTTGCTGTATTTTCATTTTCTTGGGTATCTTATCATCAGTCCTTCAAACTTGCCTTATTCTTAGTTACATCCTGGACGTCTGACGGCGACAGGATTTATTAAGTGTTTTAATAAGATGCTCTGTAAAACTGGACAAAACGGTTATTTAAATGTTTTTTTCAGTTTTAAAGAAACATGAAGAGACTCATGAGGCTGCTAGTAATTATTTTATTGACATAATAAACATTGCAGCTTGTCTTTATGATTTCATCAGAACGATAGATGACAAGTTTCTTACCTCTCGACCGTATCTGAACCATAACCAGATCCATCCACACTAAAAAAAACACTGCCATCCTTCTGCAGAAGTCAACACCGTTTAGATTTTTTTTTTCTGTGTTCTGTACAAAAAAAACAGAATTTCAAATAAAAAACTGGCCAATCAGAGTATTGATCTAATTCTATAACTGGATAGGTTTAAAACATTTAATTTAAAAAAAAGGTGTAAAGTTAACATGTGATGCACAAGGAAGTAACACAAATAACTTTTTAATGCTTGTATTTATTTACTGACCAGTCTGAGGCCTGAATTGCACCGTACAGCAGAGAAGCATTCTGCTCAAAGGCTACAAGTCTGATGTGATTATTTAGATTAAAAAGAGTAAAATAAAAATATCTGATGGGAATCGCAGGATCGTGCTCACACCGGCGTTGCCATTTTTAAATGACTAACTTACGTCTGCTGACCCAAATGTGAGTCACAAAGAGTCCGGTCTAGTTTGTGCAGATTTATAATTTAGGTCTGACAAAAGACGTGATTGTTATGTAAGAAAACGGTTCAGTTCACACACACACGAAAATGTGTCGTGGAAAATTTGAATGACCAAGTCGTCATGATCCTGAGATATCAGACAAATCACAACATTAATCTTAACAAAACAAACTTGTGTTAAACTGAAGTCCGGTACCTTCTCCTGTTTTTCCACTGCTGATGACTTTCTGAGAGGAAAGTGTCGCCCAATTTCAGCCACTCTGAGCTGCTGATTTATGGGCGATTTCTACATTAGATAAAGGGACCTTGAACACTCCAACTTGTGGAAGTTGCTACTGCTAGTGATTCCTGGGAGTCCTCTGGAGCAAAAATGATTTAAAAAACAAAATCAACACACGTTATACAGACACCCTGCTGTCTGGGACAGGGGCTTGTGAGTTTAGACCAATACAAAGGAAGGCACATGAGGTTCAAGTAATCCAGGATTATACAGTTGGTAGAGTTGATCACTTCATGAATAAGAACGTTTGTGAGACTTTTGACAGTGAAATGCAAATTCTTTCACTCTGAATCGTATTGGAGAACAATCGAAATGGTTCTGTTTACATTACCTGGCTAAAAATTAGTTTGGATTGAACCGTGTGTGTGTGCGTGCGTGCCCGTGTGTGTGAGGGCGCGCGCGCTTGGTCTCCATCCCCAGTGAGTCATGGTGGATGGCTGCTTATACTGAGCCAGGATCCTCTGGAGGTTTCTTCCTGTTAAAAGGGAGTTTTCCTCTCCACTGTCGCTAAATGATTGCTTAGTATGAGGATTGCTGTAAAGACTCTTACACTAGTCAGTGACTTGATGCAACCTGCAGGGTTCCTTATATGGGAAACTTTATACTGATTGGTTTAATGAACTGACCTGAATTGGAACGTTAACTATGTGAAGTGCCTTGAGACGACTCTTGTCGTGATTTGGCGTTATATAAATAAACTCGAATTGAACTAAAATACAAAAAAGCATTCCACTGCTCAATCCCACTTTTAAAGGTGCAGTGTGTAAGAATATAGTGAAAAAAATGCCAAAACAGTAATGTGTCAGTCATTTTGGAAGGAAGGTTACACTGAAACTTCATGTCCAGCTGGCTGTGAGGATTGACAGATTTTCTCCTTTCAATACATTCTCTGCTGTTTCCTGGACGCTAAACCAACAACAGCCTTCCTCGTCGTGAGTCAAGATGGGTGAGTCCATGAATATTGAGTGACAGTGTGATGTAGATCTGTCAGGCTTTTCTAATCCTAGAGTTTCACCGTCTGTTTTCTATCAAGCTAATGCAGGAGATAGGTGTAGGAGACTATTTCATGTTCAGCCTGCATGAAACACTCAGAGTGACTCATTAGAATCTGAGAAAATCAATAAAAATGGTTTCCAGTGTTCCACACCTTCCAGAGCCATCCACGCACTAATAAACTCGTCAAAGTATAAAGAAACAATCATCTTCTTTGGTAGCCAGAAAAAACACTTTGTGAAATAATCCAAAGTTAACATTAGAACTGCATTTCCACATGAACACTAAAACTACCCAAGGCATTGTGGGTAAACAGCTTTGTAGCATTAGGACCAACTAAAAGCATGAAGTTGAACCTAGACTTTTCACTGGTCAACACCTTCCACCTTTTCCTTCATCCACGGAAAGTTAATGATGCCACGGCCAATTGTTCGTGTAACTACACTAAAAGTTCACTTTTGGCCAGGCAGTGTATCACTGCAGGTTCTCACACATAAAACGTGTATGTGTGTGTGTGTGTTAGTGTTTTTCAGTCCATGTTGGCACCACTTGGTCAGTGTCCTCCTGTTTATTCTGAATTGCGTTTTGGTTGTGATGCGTTTTGTGCGAGTTGTGACGCTGCACATGGGGATTGGTCAGCCATGGGTGCATCAGCAACTCTATGGCCTTCAGTCTCTCAGCGGGCTCCTTTCTCAGCATGCAGCCAATCAAGCACTTGGCCTGTGGCGACAGCCAGTTGGGCAGACTGAAAACCCCCCGGCGGATTTTGGCGAACAGCGCAGCAGGCTGCGTGTCTTGGAAAGGGTATCGTCCAATCAGCATGGTGTACAGAGACACGCCCAGACTCCAGATGTCTGCCGCACGACCAGAATAACACCTGTTCCCATTGGTCAGCAGCTCGGGGCCGACGTAAGCTGGACAGCCATGTCTGTCCATTAAAGAGTCATCGTCAAGGTCACCGTGCAGAAGCACACTGTCGTTCAGGCCAAGCAGGGCGAGACGAGTCCTGGAGGACAGAAAAAGCGTCAGAACTTTCATTCTGAAACTCATCAATGGTTGTAACTGTTTACAATAAAATACTACAAAGTATTGAATGGATTAACAGGCATTAAATTACATGAAGTACCATCAGTGATGATGTTTTTAATGCATTAACAGTATTTTAAGTATACCAGACGCTCATCAGATCTCAAACAGGTCATTGCAGCACCATCCCATAATGAGTAACGATGGAATAAGGAGCATCTGAGACGTCTCACCTGTACTTGTCCGTGAAGACGAACCGGCGCAGCTTCAGGTCTCTCAGGATGACTCCATGCTGATGGCAGTGGGTCACGGCACCCAGCATTTGAGCGAACAGACGTCCCGCCTCTTCTTCATCCAGGTGCTTTCTGCTGCGTACGTACGCGTGCATGTCACCGTGGTGACCAGGCAGGAAGACATACACGTTGTCTTGCCTGACGACCACATCCTGCAGGCTGCAGATATTCTCATGTTGATCGATGCGGTCGTAGGCTGCCAGTCGTTCCAGGTAACCACGTAGAGGGAGGACCTGTAACCGTGACGACACCGTGAGGACTGACTGTTGAGCAGCACCACTATCTTTGCCTGTATCACTGCTCTTACCTGGCAGGTGTACTGCTGCTGAGTGCCCGTGTGCATGGCCCTGTACGTCTCCTCCTTCTCACAGCTTTCATAAAGGAGGTAGGGCCCGACTCTGGGCGGGGGCTGCTTCGGACTGGGTTTGGGGGCTGGATCAGCGGGGCTGAGGTAAGCCGATAGGCCGGTGGAGGGAGGAGGTGGGTCCAGACGAGCTTGTTTACATTTTGGTAACTGATGGTGTGGCTCAGTCAACAGCCTCTTCAGACACACCTGACCCCTGGTCGTAGCCACGCTCATACTCATCTATGACTGGAGACAAGCGATAAGGTTCATAACTATGCTTCACGGTTTAGCTGTTACTGACACAACAGGAAGGACATGTCCTTGTTGGAGATGTTTTTAGTTTGGGTGCATGTAAAAAGTCTGAAAGGGCCAGATACCACTTGTTAGTAGTTTGTGGTGGTGTGGTGCATAATTTAGTTTCCCTCAGCATGTGCAGCTGACCAGCTGGAGCCTTATTTGGGAAGGCATCCTGCCGACAGACATACTTACAACTATAGAGCACTTAAACCTGCTCTGTCTGAAGGGCGCAAAATAGCCTGATGTCTCACATCATTACTTATGAACGAGTATTTTCAGCTTCATGCAATCAAGGTCTAGAAATCCTTTTCCCAGTCAAAAATATCATTTTAATTATAGATGAACAACTCCAGGGCAGTTTCAGCCAGATGCATCAAAAAGTTACATTTGATATCTGCTTTTGTACAGATATTTGATACAGTCTAACGCTTACTTCTCAATACAGATACAAGTAAAATGGGTTAGCAACCTGCTGCCCTGGATATGGGCACGTATTGCCGTGAAATCTGAAGTCTGCCTTGCCCTTATCCCCTTCTTGAGCAGCTCTTCAGTAACGTTTTTTGTGTGTATTGTGCTGGGTAATATGTTTAATACTTCATGATGATATTTTAACCAAAGTGATTTAGGTGTGACAAGTAGAAATCAAGAGTGATTGACAAAAAAAGATGAAAGACTAATCTCTAGTAATTTAATCTGATTGCAGGCAGGCGGTACTGGTATAAAGTTCTTATGGGTCAAAATGAATCACAACTACTGTGGATGGATGGATAGAAGGATGGATGGATCCATCCATCCATCCATCAAGAATCCTGATAAGATTTCTTACTTTACTCCCAGAAAAAAGTCAGAGTCCCAACTTTAATCTCAAAATTCTGAGATTAACATTAGGACTCTGACTTTTTTTCTGCGAGTAAAGTGAACTTTTTATTCCAGATGCGCTGATGATCTTCTGTGGATATTTCTCAAAAATAAATGGTCTCTTCTGAAATGGTTCTGTAACATTTCAGGCTTCAAATCGGTTTTATTAAGGTGGATTGTGAGGAAAACTTCTTTGTGGACCCTAGAAGTTCCAGACCCCTGGTCTAAAAGGCTGCACCGCAGCGCCCTCTTCAGGTGAAAGCACCAGTCCGCTTCCTCCTTCCACTAAACCCTCTTCAGTAACATTTTTACATTAGCTAAAACATGTATTAGTATCAAATCAGACTGTGTTCTGCATCCCTGCTGCTTACATGTTACACGGTGGGTGTCTATAGGCGTCCTGATGCAACTTCCTGTAAGCTGACAGGCGCTACAGCTTTCAGATCATTGCATCAGAGCAAAACAGTTTATAGTTTAAAAAGCCTAAAATACAGTCAACACACACACACACACAGTGTGAGTGAGTTTCTCATGACTTGTGGTCACCTTGGTGACACTCCTGCTGTTGGGAAACATTGCTTTCACTCCTGCTGAAACAACCTGAGTCACTGCATCACTGTGGCAACCACACACACACACACACACACACACACACACACACACACACACACACACACACGCACGCACGCACGCACGCACGCACACACACACACACACACACACACACACACACACACACACACACACACACACACACACACACACACACACACACACACACACACACACACACACACACACACACACAGCAAATCTGACTTATTTCAGACATTTGATTGTGAAAGTGCTGGGGAACTCCTTACAGCTCAGACTGACTAATAAAAGAAGACTGGAACTAAACATGATGAAACTTCGTTAATCAGACTTTGTGAAGAAAAACGTGCCTCGTGTTCATGGAGTTTCAAAACTAAATCTGCCTCCAGCACAAAAGTAAGAAACTAAAACCTGCAGAGAAACACAGCAACAGTTTTTTATCTCCCAGTTTAACGTTTTCAAACATGGATGGACTCACATGTCTCACATCCTTAGGATTTATAAAAGTCTGTGTTTGCAACACAAACATTTATGATGCAACTAAAAAGTATATTCACAAAGATATTTTGCTCATTTCACTTATAACAAATGTTTTCCATTCAGATGAACTTGTTGCATCATTTAGTGGGATTTAGGAAGTTGTTTCTTTACATCTGGAAAAAGTCCAAGTCCAAGTGTTCTATCCAATCATGGGGAATGGAGAATATTCCTAAAATTTAACAATAAAGCTGAATAATACTGAAGATAAGAGTTGGAAGAAAAAATTGTGATCGAATGTTCCTGAAGAGACATTTATCCCACTGATGCGCTCACTCCCACCTGTTCGGATTTAAGTTTTACTTCTTAAAAATAAATTTCCTAGAGGCTTCAATCAAAAATAAATGAAAAACGAACATTGAGGACGATAAAACATGTTTTTCTGGCATGCATTAGTGCATTTTCTTATCATTCATTCATGTGGAAACTTGATTCAGTTTGTGGACTTGATTAGAAATGACAGGACTCACTGTTGTCATGTTAAAATAAACATCACAACTTTCTAAGTTTATGCTGCAGATTTCTGGTTTTCCAGCCCTCTGACTGAAACCGGATGCTGAGCTGGATTAAAACAGTTAAGAATAAATTTAGATTTTTCTAGAGCAGATTAAACATGATGAGGAGTTAATTGGATTTTTAAAAAGAGGAGCTCTAGATAGGGCTCTCGTTTCACTTTTCCTTACCTTGTGTGACTGCAGGTGAACAGGAAACCAGTAGAAACCCAGTAAAGTCCCTGTACAGCTGGGTCACCTGTTAGTCTTTTTGTGTTGCTGTAGGGTCAGATAGTTAAAAACCACTAATCCTCTCCCCAAGCTGAACTGGGACCAGTCAGTGGGCTACTGGGAGAACAGTGACGTATTGGTTTCTTCACAGTTGCGCAACCTGTCCGTCAGCTGGTAGGTAATTAAAAATAATATAGCGTTTCTTGTTGTCTCAATAAAAGTTTCACACAAAATAAGTCCACAGGAAAAAAAAACTCAAAAGAAAACTAAACTTGTTTGTTTGCTGATCCTTTGTCGTTATTTCCGAAACTGAAGCGGCTCGTGTCGTCCGTTTGAGCTGGAAACTAACACCATCGGTCCGGTTCCGGTCCGGTTCGGGTCCGTCCTGTATGGTCACCGCTGACCCAGTTGCGCGTCTCCAGAACTTTCAACCGGACTGACGCTGGGTCTGTTCGGTTTCGTTGTTTCCACTCGCGCTGTGACGTCACCGGAGAAGGCGGAGCTTCGATGTTGCAATCCGGAGCTGCGCCTTCGTCAGACACGGGACATACCTCACCACCTCATACACACCTCCGCTGAGACTCATCAGGATCCTTAAACTACCTCTCATCACAAATCCTTCAGAAATAAAAACAACTATTGTGCATTTGAGTAAATAAACAAACAAATAACTCAACAAATGCAAACTGTGGCTAGTGCAAACACCTGCTGACGTTGGCTGTGAATGGGGAGAAAATAATAGTACAAATAAGACTGAAAAATCTAATGACGTTTCAATTAAACATGGAGGGGTTTTTACTAAAAGGTTGGAAAACACATTTATAACATGTGATAGCAACATTATTGGTGTTGTCTTTGTTCTATATAAATATTGACTAAAATACTGCCAGCTTTGAGTGAAAAAAGGCAAAGAATAAAAAAAAATTATATCTCTGATTTGTCAGTGACGTTTAGGGGGACATCAGCAACACTTTGGGTGTGTTGTACTTCATTGTTACATCTGCTGAATTTAGGGGTTCCTTCTTATAAGTTTAACATTTAAATACTCACAAACCCTTGGGTAGAAATAAAACCACGTAAGAAAAATTCATCCCTGCTGTTGTCCCACTTTGGTTGCTGGTTAATGAATTGGGGAAGAGTCAGAAGAAAAGTGACCAGAAGAAGACTTCTTTGGTTTCACGTGACAGAAGAGCTGCGTCAGCTTCTGCTTTACCTGTAGATTTGTTTAGATATAAATCACTTTTATCTATGAAGATGTCAACATTTACTTTTCATTTGGGGGATTCGTTTCAAATCAGTAATGGATTACTCATCATTTTCTTTCTGTTTCAATTAACTCATTCAAACAGAGTGTTGACCTGAATCCACCAGCTGACATCAGACCTTAATCTGAGTTTAGTCTGCAGTCGAAGGCTGAGCCATCACGCTGCTGTTCACCTCATTAGTTCACCTCCGTTTGTCTCACAGTCAAACACAAACAACGCATCTGTTTAATGCCACACGACCTTTACATGGCTTTTCAAATATAAACACATCGATTTATACAACTCTGTCGACCAAAGAGCTGAAAAAAGACAAGTATAGATAAAACAATAATAGCATGCCAAAAATAAAATACATTACAGCCTAAAGAAGAAATATGCGTACAACAATAAAGTAGAGCTAAACGCCAGTAAGTAAACGTGTGTCCTAAGAAGAGTTTTAAAAGCCACAAGCGAGGAGGCCTGGCTAATAGCAGGCAGCTGATACCACAGCCATAAGGTGCGGCCACAGCAAAAGCCCAAACCCCTCTCAGCTTCAATTCCATCCTTGGAACGACCAGCTGCTGCTGGTCAGTCGACCGTATACATCCTGGTTCCAAAAGGTACGATGGTGCAAACCCAGGACAAGGATTTTTAAATCTATTCTAAAAATTCCGTGGAGCTTCTGTGCATTTGACCTTTAAACCCTCAATAATCCTCATTTTACAGGAAAAAAAGGATTTTCCCTTATGATTCCTGCACTGAGCTACCTCTGAAGTATTGCATTAGCCAGCTAACCCTGAAAACACCTTTTCAGTCTCCTGAGGAGGATGATGTTGTGTCTTATCTTCGTTGTTCTTGAAGGCTCACGGTCATCCAGGACACATTCATTCTAGAAAAAAGTTCAACTGGACATTTTTTCCTTGTAGTGGTTTCACTTTTTCCACTGAGTTATTAATCTTTTCCGAATGTGAAGGTGGAAGTGTGATTATTTGTGGTTTTGTTTTCCTTCGACGCAAACATTTCCTGACAGGAAACCGTGGGGAACTTTGTTCCAAACAAAAGTCAGCTGTAAGCTCAGGTAGCCTTTTTCGTACAGAACATTCTCTGCTCGAATCCTTTAACTCACAGAAGTTTCTGTCTAGACTTTGTCTCTTCCTGTCTTTGTACTTCTGGGGTTGCACCTCTTTCGGATTGTTAGCTGTAAACTAGCGTCAGTAATGACGCCAGCCACCTTTTAAACAGCCATTCAGCTTAAATGTTGTCATCCCTGCAGAACCTGAAATCTGGATGTCTGTAAACAAAGACGTTCTGTCTCTGGCAACTCGAGTACTTTGAAGGGCACGGTGAATTGTAACTTCTTTCTTTTTCTCACGAGCGCTGATACCCCACTGTTCAACTTAAAAGAAATGCATATGTTGTAAGGTGATGCAATTTAGAATTGTGTGACATTAAAGTGATATTGCACAGGGGTGTACTCATTTCTGGTGCTGATGGTGGCTCCACACAGACCGAGCTGCGTATCATCTGACAATTTGTTCCTCCACCGAGACAAAGCTGAGGTACAAACATGATATTGTTGTTTGTTTCAGAAAGAGATACCAAAGCTACCAAGACGGATTTCACAAACACGGAGCATGCAGGAACACATTCCGCTTTTTAAATGAGTATTTTAAGAATATTTATTAGCATATTGGTTTGCTAATTGCCATTTCCTCTGCAGCTGGTCTGAGCGGCACAAACACCAGCAGGTCTATGCGTGCACATATGGTCATGTCGGAGAACTCATCCTTTAATCTCTGCAGGAGTCACAGACAGACATCTGCTGTTTCACAGGTAACACGGTCACACCTTCATTATGCAGATTTCCTGTGTGAGCTGTGACCTCTGACCTCCGTGCTGGGGTGTGTGTGTGTGCGTGTGTGTGTGCGTGCGTGCGTGCGTGTGTGTGCATGTGTGTGTGTGTGAGAGTGTGAAACTCACTCTGCTGATGTAAAGTAACAAGCACTGACCTGGTTACACACACACACACTGTTGCAGCAGGTTATTTCCATGTGGTTAGCGTGTTTTTACGCCACATGATGAAATATTGAAGAAATAGGAACACAGTGCATGCATGTGTGCTTGTTAAACTTTACTGTCTCTTTCATAACTGATGTGATGAAATCAGAGGCCAAGTGTCTGCCTCAACTACGGCCCGCCACGGGAATACATGCTCATTGGAAGCAACAAGCACACACACATTCGTTCACACTTTTCTTGCACGTACTGTCCTCGTTCTGAGGATTATCACCCGTCTCCCACCTGTGCAGTTTTCCTCTCCACCTGAGTCTGCAGTCTGTCATCCTGTCTGAGTGTTTCAGCTCTAATCTTCTGGCTCTCTGGTTCTGGCTCTGTTCCGGTGGTCTCTCTCTCTCAGCGTTTCGCCTCAGGGCATCCTGATTCGTCGAGCCTCGGGGAAACACTCAGTTTAAAGTTGGGCTAACAGTGGGAGTTTAAGAGACTGAGAAAGCCCCGCGGTGGTTAATCGAGGAAACACCCTTGAGCGTGTTCTCCGCTTGACGGTACACTGTGGTCTGTGCTAAGCGCTGATTAGATCAGTTGGTTTCTACATGTTCGGGAGGTGATGAAATGCTGCAGGTGAACTTTCCTCCAGTCCATAAGCTCACCTACTTTTCTCTAACCACCCACAGGTGCGGCATTACTGGTTTTTCTAACACTGTGCACACATCCAGACCAGTTTCCTCTTTGCTGTTTAATTTGTTTGAGGTCAAAAGTTATTTTACAGTTGATGTTTAATCATAGGAAGTGTTGTTTTGGGTGAAGACCAGAGGGACAAAGTTAAATACTCAGATGCTAGTTAATGTGCTCCTGGTTACACACAAGATAATATGTTGTCATAAGAATCATGTGCATCAAGATAAAGTAGCCTATTGTATAGTGTGTACACATAATATAATAAATTATAATAATAATAAACGTAGGTGGCCTTTCAGGGTGCTCTTTTAAACTTCCAAATGTCTCGTGTTTATTTCATGATTAATTGAGGTAATTTATGTATAAAAATACATTCAATTCAATTCAGTTCAATTCAATTTTATTTGTATAGCGCCAAATCACAACAAGAGTCGTCTCAATGCACTTCACA